TGACTTAGCCTAGCTATGATCCTAGGAAGCAAATCCATAAGAGGTTAATCGTTAGAAATTAAAACTTACAAGAAAATTTCCTGGAAATTATTTCTTGAATTTCTGTGAAGTTCTTGAATGAGTTGACGTATTGAAAGTATCAGATACAGGCTCTGACCTCAAGTCATTCTGACTGAGAGGAGAACACTCTATACACTCTGCCATACTTTCTTAGCATTAATCTTTGGGAAGGGGAAGGATTGTCCAATCCTTTGTATTAGCAGTGGCCATCATTATTATATTTTGATGGCCTTAGAAGGCATTGGCCATCTCTATCACTATTTGTGCAAATTCTAAGCACTTAATCAACATGGTTACCTAGAGACTCTATGGGGTGCTTTGGGGACTCCACTGCACTGAGGTACTTTGGGCAGTCAAACCCAAGGTGGATCGGCACTTCTACAATGAAAAGAGAATCAGGGCTTAGCTGGGCTGAACGACACCGCATCATGAGCCAAACTGGTAGATAGAGCGTTAGAGAGAACCAGAGCCCCTCACCAATATGGCGGGAGGAGGAATTGGAGCATTAATCTGAGTCAAGCAGGGATGCAGTGAGAGTGGGGCTGTGGGAAAAACCCCTCCCAAAAAGCCTCTCTAATACTCCAGATTGGAGGACAAACATTTCTAGACTTTACTTATAAAACTAGAATGGAAATGTCTGCCACTTTTATCACAAAGACTAAACAGGAAATGTTTGATTCTGAGATGATTAAATTGATTCTGTATCGTTATTTTTACTGATCCTTTTTGCCTCTGAACTTAGTGCAGAAATATACTGACCTGTAATGAGTTACGTTTAGAAATCCAGTTCTCCTGCTAATCACTGTTCTATTATTGCCTCAAGGAATTGTGCTATCTTTGGGGCATGAGGGTGGACACAAGGCAGACTTTCCTTCAAGGATGTCTGGTTTATTATCCAAGGAAGACTGGCCCACTTTCTTTTGACCTTGAAAGTAGACTCAATGAACTTTTCTCAGTCACGGGAAAGAAGGGAGTTGTTTCCTTCTTCCATTCAATTTACAACTTCCAATCAATCAAATTGTTGCCCGTGCTTCAGCTATGTAGCCAATCATGTTGTCCTCAACCCCATGATGTCACCTACTCAGTTCTATATTTGTTCTATGCTTATAAAAATGAGTTGCATCTTCAATTCTTTGTCTTTTGGCTAACTGAGGCAGTCATTAGGCCCATTCTACTGGTAGGTAATGCCCTGATAATGTTACCTTGCTTGGAGAAAAATACTCAGTTGATCTTTTTGTTGAATTTCACTTGCAGCAGATATTTTGGCTTTTTGGCAGTGATAAAATTAACAATAAAAAGTGGTAATAGCTATAGATATTAGAATCCCAGGCCTTTTTACATCTTTTCTTCTTTAACAAATACAAAGGTTTTTAAATAAATGAAACTTAGAGACTTAACCAGCCTTGACAGCTCTCTCTCCAAACTTGTCTAAACTGGAACATTGGAATCTCTGTTTTACACCTGTACCTACTACTTTTTCTCTTAAAGCAGAGAGCTGTTGAAAGAAGAAATCACCTTTTTCAAAAAAAATTCCCTATTTTCACTAATATGAAAAATAAATTCCCCATATAGTCCTCAAAAATTAGTTCCACATTTTCTTCATAATTTAAGGGGTTTAACCTGGGTTCCATGACAGACAGAGAGAGGGAGAGAGAGAGACACAGAGAGAGAGAGAGAGAGAGAAATTTATTGATAGGTAGTTTCCTTTGTAATCCTATGTATTTCCTTTTACACATTGAAAGACATGATTCTGAGAATGGTCCATAGGCTTCAGTAGACTGCTCAAAGGGGTCCATGACACAAAAAAAGTTAAAAGACCCTGCTTTCTATGAAGAAATTGCTGACACACCAATAGTAAGGTTTGCACTTGGGCTTGTTTTCCCAGTAGTGGTGATAGATTTTTGGACTAAGCCCTTAATGATCACTTTCCTGGCACTTCTTATGACCAAGGTGACACAATTAAAAGAGAATTGTTCAGTTTATGAATAGTCAATGACAATCTCACCAGTATATAATACATTGTAAATTCCAAGAGGACAAAGGATATTTTCAATTTTTTCTTGGTGCCCTAGGACTTTATTGTTATCCAATAGGAGACTGATAATTGCTTGTTAGATTGGAACCTTCATTTCTATTAACATGAGTGAATCGACTGAACTAATCAGTCACCAGCACAGCAATTAGTTAATTGAATGCTTAACTTCTCTGGGCCTCAGTTTCCTCACCTGTGATGAAATTAGTAAATACAAGGATCTCCAAGGTCCATAATTCTCTCTCAATTGGTGCTCCTATATAGATTATGAAATCTTTAACATTCTATATCTCGATGGAATAAGCCATATATCTTTGCTATTCCCTGATTGGAAAATTATATAGCATATGTTGTTCTCAAAGAGAGTTTCAAGAGTATTTCAGACAAAATGTTTTGTCAATATATATCAAAGTTAAATTGCTTATGTACTAACCAACATTAGGCTTGGGAATAAAGTAAAAATGTATGGGATTTGAGGGGATCCAAAAGAAGCTCACATTCACATCTCTTTCACTGGCCTACTGTGCACATAAAATTTCACTCTTCACTACAAATTCACTCCTTGAGGTTAAGGAACTGTATCTCTTAGAATCTTCTTTAAAAAGAAAAACACAATTAGGGTAACAGAATTCAATTAAGAATTGAATGTGAATTACTTTACAAGATTGTTTTTCAAAGAGGACATGATGAGAGTGTGATGTCAAAGAGATAGGGAAGAGGACAGGGTATGTTTTGATAGGGGAGGAGCCTTTTGGGGGAGAGTGGACTTGGGAGTGTTACTACAGTGGGGTACTTGGGACAGTGAAGAGTCACTATAAGGGTAGCAAATACCTCCTGGGGCTTGGGAAAGAGCCTAAGGGAACCAAGAAGACAAACTTCACCTGCTTCCCAATTTTCCATAGGGCCAACTATGTCATCGGGCAGCTAAGTGGCCCAGGGTATAGAGTACAAAGCTTAGAATCAGGAAGACTCACCTTCATGAGTTCAAATCTGGCCTCAGACACTTACTAACTGTGTGAACCTGGGCTAGTCATTTATCCCTGTTTGCCTCAGTTCTCTATCTATGAAAGGGCCTGGAGAGGGAAATGGCAAACCACTCCAGTATCTTTGCCAGGAAAACTCCAACTGAAGTCAAAAGGGTTAATCATGACTGAAAAAGACTGGACAACGACAAAGCTATGTCGTCAACTCCATCTTTAGCTCTACCTAATGTTCCCAATATCATCAGTCAGCAAAACTCACTCTTCTGCCTACAATAGATTCTGTCCATTCCAAATTCCTCCACAAATATAAATTCACATGCTTGTACACGCACACACATACATATGCACACACACACACACACACACACACACACACACACACACACACACACACACACATACACAATGCTGACACCAGGATGCAGAAAGTTCTCAATAGCATTATCACAAATAACGGAATGATTCAGGGGATTGGAAAGTTTAAGCAACACAGAGGCAGACTCTATCACCCTACCCTTCGCAGAAGTGAGGACAGTAATGAAGAGGAACAAAGGAAGATTCACATATTTAGAGCTGGAAAGAGCACCAAGTACCACCCCCTCAGATTACAGATTAGAAAACTGAGGCCAGGAGAAATGAAGTGACTTGCAGAGAGTCACAAAACCAGTAAACATCTGAGATGGGACTTCAACCCAAGTTTTCCTGACTTCACCCCACCCCACCCCAAGGGCCTTCTCTACTGTACCACACTGCCTCTCAAGCCAAGGGCCAGGACTCAAGAAGGTGCTGATGGATGATCATAGTAAGGAAGGTGGGACTTCTTGGCTCCAGGTCAGGAATCCCACACTGATTCTCTCTCTCTCTCTCTCTCTCTCTCTCTCTCTCTCTCTGTCTGTCTCTGTCTCTGTCTCTGTCTCTGTCTCTCTCTCTCTCTCTCTCTCTCTCTGTCTCTCTCTCTCTCTCTCCCTCCCTCTCTCTCTTTCTCCTAGTTTAGATAGCGGTTTATGCCTGCAACTGAACCTAACCAGTTTTGACTTCTGCTGCCCCCTCTAATCTAGATCTCTGATTGGCATTCTTTCAGCTCTAACAAGGAATTGGTGTGTCTAGGGCAACCACCACCACCAAGATCGAGGGCAAACAATGTAAAAGCCCCCTTCAGGTGAGGAGTGAAAAGACAGGCCCCCTGAGAGGGCAGCAAAAGTCTCAGCACACATAGGAAGTGATTCACCAAGGCCCAGCATCTTCTTATTGAAGTTAGTTATTCCTACTAACTCAGAACTGAATGCTGCTATTTCCACACTGATCAAACACTACAAAAATGTTCAGCTTTCTCTGAGTCTACCACCCTTAGGACCTCAAAGGTAGGTCCTGTTTGGAGCATAGGAAATGCTGAGCAGGGAAACTCCCTCTATCTCTGCAGATTGGCCACTTTTCAATAACAGTAGTCTTTGTCAAGCTGCCTGGGGCACTCAGACCACAGAATTCTAGAGCTACAAAGGGGCACAAGATCATCTGATCCAACCTCCTCAGTTCATAGATGAGGAAACGGAGGCCCAAGGATCTTAAATGGCTTGCCCTTTCCAACTAGATGGCAGAGTGGATAAAACATTAGGCCTGGATGAAGGAAGACTTCAAACACTTAGTAGCTATGAGACACTGGGCATGTCACATAATCTCTGTCTGCCTCAGTTGCCTCATCCATAAAATGGGAATCATACCAACATCTAAATGATTTCTTGTGGGAATCAAATAAAATAATATTTATAAACCACTTAGCACAGGGCCTGGCACATAGTAGGTGCTTCATAAATGTGTATTCCCCTTCCCCCTCAGTCCCACACAGTTAGTATGTATGACCTATGCCAGGGTTCCTTGTCTCCTACAGTGGCCTACCAGCCCCTACACTCACTTTCTGATCTCACTTACTATGCTCCCTCTTTGTTTTCATTACCTTGGATGGCTTGGCACTGAACTTCAGGTTCAGGGTCTATGATTTTAGGGAGATCTGGGTGGTCATCTTTGTGACTCAGGAAACAGTGATTTCTCTCAGGTTCCTCTTCAGCGCAGCAGTCTGCCATTTCACCATACATCTCCCAAAAATTTGCCAAACTACATAAGTTATCACCAAATAGTTGATGCTAAGAGGGAAAAAATAGACAGTCACTGACCCATTTAAAGCTCTGGACATACTCGTCTTTCTCTTTTGGAAAGAACAAGACTTAGGAGACAAAAAGTTAGGAGAAGCAGCTGCCTTGACATTCTTCTGCTCCTCTCAAATTATCTGACTTTCTCTTAGTTCAGAACAATTCCTTGCATTTTTTTAATAAGAGGGAACACTTCTGGACTGGTCTTTGTGTGAGAAGTCCAAGAACAAAGAGAGAAATGGCCTTCTCAGTGGGACACATTACTGTTGACTCTGATCTCCTATCTGAAATGAAATGAAGAGAGAAGGTCAAACTCAACCACAGGGTCAATACTCACAAGGGATTTGCCACAATTTTCTGCTGTCTCATCAGGAGCACAGCCTTTTGCGAATTCCACAACCTCACCCACTAATCTGGCGTGATGTTCGAATGGACATTCCTGGAGGTACTGAGCAAATGTGATCAACAGTCTGAAACAAAGAATTCTTATGGTTATTGAAAGCAAAGATGAAACTAAATATTAAAAACCCCATCATAAAGTATTTGCTATTTTGCTATTGTACTCTAAGGACCATGGGATTTTTTTCCATCTGCCTTGTAGCTGCATTCTCCTAGATAGGTTCTCCTTGAGAATAGGGACTGCTTTGCTTTTCTATTTGTGTATATCTCCAGTCCTTAGCACAGTGTTTAATGCATGCTTTTTCAGTCATTCACTCTACAAGGATCAATGTATACTATCTCTTCCTCACTGCTCTGACCAAAGGTGGGGGAAGAGAACAAGCATTTATACAGCACCTACTATGTGCCAGGCACTGTGTTCAACACTTTACTAATATTCTCTAATTTGATCCTCACAATCTCATACAAACTTTGATCCCAGAATCTCCAGTCACACTACATGCTTAGTGACTGATAAGTTTAAAGTGATATTCATCCCAAAGACATTTGTATTTCAACAGTTAAACAAGTGAGGACAAGTCTTCATGTAGAACTCCAAGCTTTAGCCAGTGGAAGAAGATTTTGCGGAGGAAGGAGACGATCTTCCTAACCCCCAAAAACCATTCTCTGTGGAATATGTACATTCTATGTACGCTACGTGAAAGACAATCACTAAGTAACTGAAGTCAACTTAATTAGTCCTCTAGGACCTTATGTGTAGAAGACTTGAGCACAAAGCCTGCCTTTGACACTGATTACATCACCAATTATTAAGTCTATGACCCAGGGGAAGTCATTCAACCACTCTCTCCCTCACTTTCCTTATCTGTTTGGTATCTGGCTCAGTAGCTAATTAAAGAACTTTTAAACATCTTCCCTATAAAGCCCTGATGTCACTTATGGTTGGAGTAGGCACCCCACATTTCCACATGGTCACCAGGGATGGCAGCTGGGCATGCTCTCTAGGTATCGGAAGGCATCATTACACTCATAAGTTTGCTTTCTGGATCTCCCCTGTGGTGACCCTTTCCAAGGGACAGGGTAGCTTGTGATTGCTCTATAACATGATTCTTTTGGTACTGAAGTGATGTCCCAGCCTGTGGGATGGAATATGATATGATCATGAAGCTCCAAAGGGCTATTGCCATTAAAGTAAATTATTGAGAAATTCAAAACTTAGAAAAGAGCCTGCTTTTGAAAAGCTCTTCTCTTGCATGTTCTTTAAATCACATCCATCCTGGCTTTTCTGGCCTATGGAAGGTCTACACTAGAGTCTTGACCTTCAAAGATACTCAGTGAGATACTGAGTTCCATGGAGATGCTCAGAAATCTACCAGAGCACATTCTGTATTGACCTAGGCAGGCCCAAGTCTATTAGCCTGGCATTGACTGGAGAGACAGAAGGGGAGCTGTCAGGAGTGGAACAATTTGGGACTACGTTTGTCTGCATCCAGTACAGCCAACTGAAGCCATAAGTGACATCAGGGCTTCATAAGGGAGATGTTGAAAAGGTCTTTAATTAACTACTGAGCCAGAAACCAATGGCAACTGAGCATGTTCCATGGGGGTGGTGGCAGAAAGACAAGAAAGGGATCCACTATGTAAGGTTTCAAGGGATAATGCCACAATCAATATTAATGGAAAAATGAACCCAAATTTTCAATCATTATAGTTACAGGGCTTTCACATTGTCTTCACCCAAATCCCTATACCATTTGGCAATCTCACTCTTAGCTAGAAATAAAATAAAGAACACTGATTTATATATGTGTATATATGTATATATATATATATATATATATATATACATATATATCTTTTAAACTGCCAGGTGAAGAACCCCTCCTCAATCTAGGCACAGTTTCTCTTTCTAAATAACTCAAAAGATGGTACCTCTGCCAGGATACACAAATCTTTGTAGAATAGTCAATCTCAGTTCAGTATAACACCTGGAATCATTGATTGGCACAGATGCTTCTTGAACCATCATTTGAACTTCATGGTTTTTTTCCTCAAATCTAAGGTAAGAACTTTATTGTTTATTTAGTCATTTTTGGTCATGTTCAACTCTTCATGACCCTTTGGGGGTCTTTTTCGTAAAGATACTGATATAGTTTTCCATTTCCTTCACCAGCTTTTTTAACAGTTGAGGAAACTGAGGCAAACAGGAGCAAGAGGCTTGCCCAAAGTCACACAAACTAATAAATGGCTGAAGCCAGACTTGAACTCAGGTCTTTCTGACTCCAGGTCCAACACTCTATTCACCTAGCTGCCAAAGTAGGATTACTTCTGCTATACCTCCTTCAGAGGAGTGAAGGGAGGTCTGTCTGAAATGCAATTGTAATAAACCCAAACTCTAATTATAAAATTTGTCTAATGATTCTAGATTTCTGTATGCTGAGGCAGAGCTGATGATGTCATAGCTGAGGAGGTGAGAGGAGTAAATTCCCTTTCTTTCTTTGGGATTGTACAACTTTAAGAAATCATGGTGGCCACATTTTCTCCATCTGAAAAAGAAAACTACAGAAGCTATGCTGTCTAGCTCATTGACAATATTAGACAGACAAATGACTTCTTTGACACTATATAGATACAATCATCCTGATGATTGCTTTTTACCTCCAAAAGTAAATAAACACAATGGTACCACAAATCACCAGATTCAATCTTCAGCCTCTCTTTCTGCATTAAAAGAGACCATGAATAAAAAAATGCTTACATGCATCTCAACGGATGATTTCCCTAGGATGAACAGAGCTGAAGAGAAAAATAAGAGAAATATAGGAGACCCACTTCATGTTGTCAGTTGTTGGTGAGGATTGGTGGAGGAGAGAAGGTCGGATACTGACAGGAGAAATGCATTAATATACATTTTTAACCAATAATTTTAGATTATTAACTTGGCATTCCATTTCCTCCCACTGATTTCAAAATTCAGACTATTCTTGTGAAAACTGCGTTTACCCAAATTCCTTACACAGTTTTGCCATCTGGAACTCTCTTCTCAAAAAGACCTTGTAAATTCATTAAACTTATGTAAAATACCTTATCAAGTTCTAAACAAGGATTCAAACTATTTGCACTTTTTATCCAGTACCATGCCCTTTATCTTAGATTCCTGTTTGGACATTTTAGTTTGTGGCAGTAGTAAAATTTTAACCAACCTGGAAGCCAGGTTTGGAGAGTTGAATGAACTGGGGACCTAAGTTCAGAAATGAGCCTTGGAAACCCATTTGCACTGCTGAACTTACCTAACGATAATGAAAATCTGAGGAGGGGGGAAAGTTACTAAAATAAAAGGATTAGAATTCTTCCATTTCATTCATTCCTACCTTTACTCGGGAAGGGTTGAAGTCCCCATATGGCGCAGAATGCAACAGATGGAGACAACAGAATCTAGAACATCTAGAATACAGTTAGATGTCCGAGAACTTTGCATTATCAGTCTTGGGCCAGACCCTCAAAAGCAATTGCCCTTTCTGAAGTTCACTTTAATTCTTTTATTTGGCTTCATTTGTGTTTCTTAGAAATGATAGTAGAAAATAATTGAAATGATTAATAGTAATAATGATCTTGGCAATATTGAGATACAAATCAAAAGCTTGAAGCTACCAGATCAGGTGGCACCTTATGTAACCTTGAAAATGCTGAGATACCCCTCATTAGACTGAAGAAACCTGAGTATTCACGGGAGACAGAACAACAAAGGTAGACATAGACACTAAGCACATAGTCTCAGGGAACTGTGGATATGTATAGGCCATAGAAGAAGGAGAGAAGAAGAAAAGAGAGTATGGAAATAGAAGAAAGGATGAGAGGGAGACGGATGAGAAGAAGAAATTTAAAATAAACTTGAGTGGTCATTTCAAGCAGCATCATCAATCAAATTATTCTAAACAAATATGTTTCTGGTAGATTTCTCCCTCTCAAAAAGAGAAAAGGGATCCTTTCCCCACATTCTCTTGTACCCCTAAGGAAAATACCTTTCATTTTTAAGCTAATTGCTAACTCTAGCAGACTCTCACTCCACAAGGAGTTTAAATTCACTCTGGAAGACCTAATCACAGAGTCCTAGAATCTGAGTCCAGAGGCTACCTAGTCTAATTCGTGTCTGATTAAAAATATCATCTATGACATCACAGACAAGTGGTCATCCAGCCCCTGTTTAAAGACCTCTGATGACAGCGGAACCACCATCTTCCAAGTCAAACCATTTCATTTCCAGTCAGCTCTAATTGTTAAGAAGTTTGTCCTTTCCTTGAACCTAAACCTACCATTTTGAATTACCATCCATTCTTTCTATTTCAGACCATTGACACCCAACATAATAAGATGAATCCTGCATTGACATGAAAACCCTTCAAAGACTTGTAGTTGCTATCACTACACTCATAAGTCTCTTTTCCAGTTACTTCAGTCAATTCCCTCACTCAATATCCTCATTGTTGCCCACTTTTGGAAGGGTTCTCACATTCCTCCTGTAATGAAAAAAGCAGTGGAACTTGCAGTCAGGAAGTTCTGGGTTTAAATCTCACCTCCACCACACGGCTGTCTGCTCTATGGGCCAGGCATTTAACTTATCTGTGACTGAGTTTCCTTTCCTGTAAAATGGGAATAACAAGACCTATAGCACCTATCTTAAGCGATTATTATATCAAATGACATGATTTATGCATAGCACTTTGCAAATGTTGAAGTGTCACATAAATGTCACTTTATTTTGCCTATTACTTTTATTGCAGTCCTACCAAACTCCTTTTATGGAACAAATATGGTGCAGTGCTGATGCCTAAACCAGGAAGAGGAAAAAGAGAAAGAAAATTATAGCTCAATTTCACTCATGAATACCAATGCAAAAAATCCTAAATATATCCTAATAGCTAGTTGACTACCGTAATATATCACAAATTGTACGGTGTGACCAAATGGGATTTATACAAGAAATGCAGGGCTGCTTCAATATGAGGGTAACTATTAGCATAATTGATTATATTACTAAAAAAATCAACAAAAATAAAATGATTAAATTAAAAGATGCAAAAAAGATGCAAAAAAGGCTTTTGATGAAACAATACTCATTCTTATTAAAAAAAACACTTGAAAGGATATGTATAAATGATTTTTTCTTTAATATGATAAGAAACATCTGCCCAATGCCACCAGCAAACATCTGTATTAGGAATAAGCTAGAAGCTTTCTCAGAAAGATTGGGAGTGAAACAAGAATGTCCGTTATCACCACTATGATTCAATATTGTAGTAGAAAAACAATCAATAACAACAAGAAAAGGAAAAGATACTGGAGGAATCAGAATGTGCAAGGAGGAAATAAAACTATGCAGATGATAGGATAGTACACTCGGAAAATCCTAGAGATTCAAGTAAAAAAAATTAGTTAAAAAATAATTATATCAAAATAGCAGGATATAAAAAAAACCCACATAAATTTCTATATTCTATATATTCTGAAACCTTCCGTATCCCATATTTCTATTCTATTTATATATTCTACATACTTTCTATATGTATTTCTATATATTGCCAACAAAACCCTGCAAGAAGACATAGTAAGAAATATTTCATTTAAACTATCAATAGGTGGGAGCAGCTAGGTGGCACAGTGGATAGAGCACTGGCCCTGTAGTCAGGAGGACCTGAGTTCAAATCTGGCCTCAGACCATAGGTGATATAGGTGATATAAAATAACTGGAAATATATTTGCAAAGACAAAACCAAAAACTGTATGAACATAATTATAAAACATTATTTATACAAATAAAGTCAGATTTAAATGATTGGAGAAGCTTTAATTGTTCATGGGTAGGCCAAGTCAATATAATCAAATTGACAATTGTACCCAAATGGATCTATTTATTCACTGTCATCTCAATTAAACTACCAAAAAAATTATTCTATTAAGCTAGAAAACAATAAAAATTCATTTGGAAGTGCAAAAAGTCAAGATATCAATGGTATTATTGGAGGGGGAAAGCAAAGCAAGGGGGTCTAGCAGTACCAGATCTTAAACTGTATAATAAAGAGGTAATTATTAAAATGATTTGGTACTGGCTAAGAAATGGATGGATGGCTTAGAGGAATTGAGTAGGTATACAATGCACAATAGTAAATGATTGTAGTAAGTCCATGTTTGATAAACACAAAGATCTAAGCTTTGGGGATAAGAATTCACTATTTGGTAAAAAAAAAAAATTGCTTGGAAAACTGGAAAGCAGTATGACAAAAACTAAATATAGACTAATATCTTGTGCCATTTACCAAGAAAAGGTCAAAATGGATACATGACCTAGCTCTAAAGGGAAATATAATAAATAAATTAGAGGAGTATGGGGCATACTGCCTATCAGACAGATGGATAGGGAAACAATTTATGACTAAACAAGAAATAAAGAGCATAGTGGGGTGTAAAATGGATAATTTTGATTATATTAAATTAAAAAGGTTTTGTCCAAATAAAACCAATATAGCTGAGATCAAAAGGAAATCAGAATATTAGGGAAATTTTTTAATAACCAGTTTCTCAGATTAAGGCTTCATATCTCAAATATATAAAAAAGAGCCAAATTTATAAAAATGAGTCATTCCACAATTGATAAGTAGTCAAAGGACATGAACAGGCAGTTTTGGGGGAGAATAAATCAAAGTTAAATATAATCATATATATTGGGAAAAGTGGGGAAAGGCTCTAAGTCACTATTGATTAAAGAAATGCAAATTAAAACAATGATGAGATACTATCTCCCACCAATCAGATGGGCTAAAGTGATAGGCGGAAATGACGAATGTTGGAGAGGATATGGAAGAATTGGAACACTAAAACACTGTTGGCATAATTGTGAACTGATTCAACCATTCTGGAGGGTAATCTGGAATTATTCCCAAAGAGTTATAAAATTGAGTATGCCCTTTGGCCCAGCAATCCCACTATTAGGTCTGTTTCCCAAGGTAATCAGGAAAGAAAGGAAAAGAACTTACATGTTCTAAGATATTGATAACAGCTCTCCTTGTGGTGGCAAACAGTTGGAACTGGAGTATATGCCCATCAAATGGGGAACACCTAAACAAGTTGTGGTATATGATTGTGATGGAATACTACTGTGCTACAAGAAATGACAAGCAGTTTGGTTTTAGAAAAAGCATGGAAAGACTTACATGAACTAATGCATAGTAAAAAGAGCAGAACCAAGAGAATGTTGTACACAGTAACACACTATTGTTTAAAGAATAACTATGGATGACTAAGCTATTTTGAATAATATGATCATTTGAATCAACTACAAAGGACCTGTGAAGGAAAATGCTATCCAATTCCAGAGAAAGAACTGTGATATATGGACGTATGTATTGTATAGTTTCACATATATATGCATATATATATGCACACAAACACATAAACATAGACATATGTACATATATGCATATATACACATATATACATACACATATAGATGTGTGTGTGTATATATATACACATATACATATATATAAAATGTTGGCTTTCTCTAATGTGGGGATGGGAGAGAATGAGAGAAACAATACATCACTCAAACTGTAACAAAATAAATAAATCATAAACAGAAGAGGCATTACCATTTGCTTTGCCATTGTATTCTGAGAACCATGGAAACTTTCCAACTGACACCCAGATGAAACCTTCCATGTGTATTCTCATTCTCATTAGAATGTGAGTTCCTTGGGAAAAAGGACTGAATCACCTTTCCATTTGTATCTCTGGTACTTTCCACAGGATAAGTATTTCATAAGTGCTGCATTCATTCTTCTAATTGAGTTTAGAGTCCACTGAACAACCCCCTCCCCCATGTATTTATCTGAATTAATTTCCGTATAACCATCCCACCACCATGTAGGTAGGAGACTAATTTTTTTTTAATCCAAGGAAAAATTTCCATATCAGTCCACGCTAAATGTCATCATATTAGATTCCACCTATCATTCAAGCTTGCCAACTTGATTGTGGAGCCTGACTTTGTCATCTAAGATATGAATTCTCCATCTCAGTTTCACATCATCTGAAATTTCATGAGAATCTCTCCTATAATTTTAGCTAAGTCATTAATAAAAATGATAAACAGCACAAAACCAAGGACAGATCCCTGGGGTACTCCTCCACAAGACCTCCTTTGAAATTCACATTAACTCTTTGGGTCTGGTTATTCGTTATTTTTTTTTTTTTGGTAAGGTGATTGGGGTTAAGTAACTTGCCCAGAGTCACACAGCTAGGAAGTATCATGTGTGTGAGGCCAGATTTTTGTGTATGATTATTCAACCAGCTCTGAATCCACCTAGGCCACATTTTTTTTCATCTGTTCAAAAGAACAGTATGCAAGACTTGGTCAAAAACTTTGCCGAATATTAAATATGAGGCCTTCACAAGAATTTAGATGTCTGTTATAGTTACATAAACATAGACTTTTTGATGACGATCGTGATGACGATGATGATGATGATGATGATGATGATGATGATGATGATGATGATGGCTAGAATATGCTTAAGGTTTATAAAGCACTTGACAATTGTTGTCTCATTTTATCCTCACAATAATCCTGGGAAGTAAGTGCTATTATTTGCTCCGTTTTACAGATGACAAAACTGAGGCTTAGACAGGTTAACTGACTTGTCCAGGGTCACACAGCCACTAAGGCTGTATGAGTGAGAATTTGAACTCAGGTGTTTCTGACTTCAGATCCCAAACTCTATCCACTGCACCATCCATATATATTCCCTGAATTCTGGTAGCACAGGACAGAGAATAAGCCAAAGCGTCTCAAGCAATAATATGCTCTGATTCAGATTTTAACTTCAGAGAAGAAGAAAAAAATTCCAAATCTTTGGGTCGAAACAGGATACGCAGAGATAATGTTCCTCCTATTCCCACAAAACATCAAAGTAACTTTGGAGTAGCTTTGATAATCTAGAATTGAACACACCTGAAAAAATAAATTATATTATTTTATCTGACCCTTATAGTTTCAAGTAAGGTACTGTCTGCACAGAAGGTGCTAAGCACAGGTTATTTAATAGACAAAGGCCCGGGATTCTGAGAATCCAACCCTGTGGTTCGTGGTGACCATGAGAGCCCTTTCTTCTATCTACATGTCCATTAGTCCCTGGGTCTTTTCCACATGGTTGGACCATTTAAATGACCTGAGTCACCTCCTAAAACATGATAACCCATGGAGAACCTTCACTAAAACAACTCACCCTCCTAGGAGAGGTCTGGGCTATTACTTTTTAATCACTCAATCAAAGGGCATTTCCTTTTTATTACTATTAATTTTTTTGGTGAGGCAATTGGGGTTAAGTGACTTGCCCAGAGTCACACACAGCTAGTGAGTGTTATATGTCTGAGGCTGGATTTGAACCCAGGTCTTCCTAACTTCAGGGCTGCTGCTCTAGCCACTGCACCACCTAGCTGCACCCCAAAGGGCATTTCTTAAACACCTACTGCCTGACAGCCACTGTGCTATGTACAGGGATTACCAAGACAATAAAATGAAAAGGAGCTTACATTCTGTCAGAAGAAAAAACCATGTACCCAGACAAGCATACATGAAAGAAATGCAGAGGATTGTGTGTAGGGGAAAACATTAGTAGCAGGGGGTCTCAGGAATCAAGACAAGGCTGATGGAGGAAATGGCCTTGGTGCTGAAATTCGATGGAAAATAGAGATCCTAGAAGATAGAAATGAGGAGGAAGGAATACCAGGATAAGGGCACAACCTGCGCAAAGCTTCAGAGATGGAAAATTGTGTGTAAGGAAAGATGAGGAAGGCCAGTTTAACCAGAATAGAGAGAGAATGGAGGAGAGCAATGGAGACTCAGTCCAGAAAGGAAGGTCAGAGCCATGTTGTCACAGGCTTCAAGGCCGGACAGGAGAAGACCTATTTGAATCTAAAGGCAAAAGGAGCTTGTGGAACGGGGGAGTGCCATGATCAGACTTCAACATCTTCACTTTGATGGTGCTGCAGGGAAGAGACTGAAGAGGAGAGAGATTACATCCAAGGACACCTGGTAGGAGAGTTTACACTTTGTCTTGGATCTTACTTTGCTACACTGTCAGATTCTCTCATTCTAACCTGGCTCATTGACCATACATCTGTTGACCAGCTTCATTCCTCCTCGTCCTCTTCCTCTTCCTCTTCTTCCTCCTCCTTCTCCTCCTTTTCCTCCTCCTCCCCTTCCTCCTCCTACAACTACCACACCACAAGAACAACAATAATAATAATAACCAAAAACATTTATATAGTGCCTACAATGCGCCAGGAACTGTGCTATTTCTTAATTATTTTGACATTTGGTCCTCACAAAACCCTGGAAGGTAGGTGCTATTATTATCCCCATTTTACAGTGGAATAAATTGAGGCCAAAGGAGGTTAAATGACTTGCCCAGGGTTACCCAACTAGTAAATGTCTGAGACTGGATTTGAAATCAGTTCTTCCTCATTCCAGATCCAGGGCTCTATCCACTGCATCACCTAGCTTCCTCTCCTCTTTAACAATTTGGTTTGCCTCCTGAAGTGAAAAGACTTAGCCCCCATCATTATGTCTCCCTCTCTGACTAGCTGTCACCATAACCTCAGCTTGGATCCTCATTATGGGTCTCAAATCCCCTTATGCTGCCTGGCCCTAATTATTCAGCTGCAAACCTTACACTTTGGCCATATTTTCTATTGATGAAGATGCTTGTTAATGTATCTAGTAACTAGAACTTGCTTACTGACCATCCATGTCCCATGGCTCACCCCAATATTTTTAGACATATTATCAAATTAAAAAGAAAAAAAGAACCCAAAAGTCCATATCCTTTTAAGTCTTTCAAAAGTAATGCTGATGTTCATGAATTTGCAAGTATGGAGTTGCATATCTTTGTCTAGGGGAAACTCCTTAAGGTGGGAGAGAAAGTCTAATTCAGGCACCAGTAGATCTAGGAGGGTAACACCCGCTGGTACAAGTCATCATCACACACCAAAGAAAGATCAGTCCTAGACAACTGCCGCGATTGTTTATGCTTTCCTTTATTATTTATTGCAACACTGGGGAAGGATAAAAAAAAAATGTAAGGCGAAATTGATGTTTTCTTCACTGTTGGTTTGACACCAACAGAGAAACAAAACAGATGCATGAATTTGGGGTCCTCAGTTCTGTCTCTGTTTTCTTCCATTGGTCAACTAGAAGAAAAAAATATAAGCAAAAATGATATTAAAGTCTAGTATTTTATTTTTCCCAATTACATGTAAAGATAATTTTAACATTCACTTATCTAAAATTTTGAGTTCTAAATTTCTCCCTCCTTCCCTCCTCACCCTTCCCTAAGGCAGTAAACAATTTGACATGTTATACATGTGCAATCATGTAAAACATATTTCCATATTAATTGTGTTCTGAAAGAAGACACAGAACAAAAAAGAAAAGAAAAGAAACCAATAAAAATGCAGAAGGTGAAAAATAGTATGATCTAATCTGCATTCAGACTCCATTAGCTCTTTCTTTTAAGGTAGATAGCATTATTCATCATGAATCCTTAGAAATTTTCTTGGATCATCGTATTGCTAAGAATAGCTAAGTTATTCATAGTAGAACATCATATAATATTGCTCTTATTGTGTACAATGTTCTCTTGATTCTCCTCATTTCACTTTGTATCAGTTCATATAAGTCTTTCCAGGTTTTTCTGAAAGCATCCTGCTCATTATTTCTTATAGCATGATATTATTCCATCACAATCATATATAACAACTTTTTCAACCATTTCCAAAATGATGAACATCCCCTCAATATCCAATTCTTTACCACCAAAAAAAAAAAAGAGCAGCTATAAATACTTTTGGAGAAAGAGGTCTCTTTCCCTTTTTTAAAATGTCTTTAGGATACAGACATAGTAATGATTTACTGAATCAAATGATATGCAGAGTAAATATGATTTTAAAAATTACTAAGGAAAAACAATAGTTTAATATTTTCTCCTCCCTTTTGAAAAAAGTAGAGTAATTGTTTTTATTTTATGTCATATACTTTTCCCAATATATCCTTGCCCCTCCCCCTTCCTAGAAAGAAATTCCCTTTCCTATAGAGAAACTCTTTATATAATAAAAAAAGAAAGTTCAACTGAATTGACACATCTACTAAGTCCAATTCTATATGCAAAGTTCTGTACCCATAGTCTTCTTTCCACTATAAAGAGGCATCTCCTTAATTAAAAGATAAGAGATTGATTGACTGAATCCAACACAAAATACAAAGCAGTAATGAATTCAACAAGTACAAAGAAAACACTTTTCCATAAAGATCTCAAATTTAAAGGGGGTCATTCAACCTGACACACAGGAATAGATTTCATATGCCTTGGATATTTATTACAATAATACCTCAGTAAGATTCAATACAAAACAGATCCCCTTCAGCCTCCATCCTAAGAGGGATCATTTCTCAAGGAACACCAGCCCCATTGACTAAGGCAGCCTGGTAGTGTAGAGTTAAATTCAGGCCCCAGTATTGACCATATGCCAGGCAACACGGCATAGAGTGCTGGACATTGAGTCAACAGGATTTGGATTGGTACCCAACCTCTGATGCTTATCCTCAAACCATTTAAACTCAACTAAGACTGAGGTATCCATCAACTGTGAAATGTGTCAGTGGAAGGTGGTCCCACAAAGTTGAAATCCCAGATACTTGATATATCAACCTACTGCCAATGAAATATCCAAAGAGAGTTACGTGGGGCAGCTAGGTGGTTCAGTAGATAGAGCACTGGCCCTGAAGTCAGGAGGACCTGGGTTCAAATTTGGCCTCAGACCAAACACTTGACACTTACTAGCTGTGTGACCCTGGATAAGTCACTTAACCCCAATTGTCCCAAAATAATAAAAAAAAAACCAAAGAGAGTTACCTGAAATACTAGTGGTGGCTTGTCCATCAGGTGTTCAAGCTAAGGCAGCTTGAGCTGAAGCAACCAGTTTGGGACCCTGAATGCAAAGAAATCACAGATTGGTGAGAAAGAGATTTCAGAGAGCCCAAGCCTAAGGTCCCTGAAAGGAGGCTCTTTGAGTTATTATCCACTGCCCTTGAATACACAAAACCATCCCTATCAAAGGACAAGGGAAGATATTTGTGCATAAACATCCTTGAATGTTAGATTTCTGCTCAAGGAAAAGATGCCTATCTGTATATTTATCTGGTTTTGAAGCTATAGGAAAGATTATTTTATGAAAGTAGACTTCTTTGTTGGGCCCTAGATGGTAGCAAAACCTGGAGGAGCAGGTAGATGTTAAAGAGAGAAGCAGTGAATTCTTCTCCCTCAAGGTCTTTAAGTGAAGCCTGGATGACAAAGTGTCATGTAGGGAAGAGAGAGAATTCTGGGGTAAGGGTTAGAATCCATCAGAGGTCTTTAATTTGTTTAATAATGGCAATTGTTTTTAACATGATTGGTTTCCTTGACACTCGTGTGTATTTAATTTTCTGTAGTATAAAAACATTATTCTGACAAAGGGACCATAGGTTTCAACAGGCTGCCAAAGAGGTCCATGAAACAAAAAAGGTTAAGAAGCCCTGGCCTAGATGGTCTCTGAGGTCCTTTCCATCCGTAAGATTCCATGTTCAGTGATTGCTTGAAAATGGGGCTGTTTCACTACCTGTGCACAAGCATTTAGATTTGGCTGGGTTATAGATTGGTCCTTTTCAAAAAAATGGCCAGCTAATGATTTTTATTCAACCTGACACAGAGGAGACCAGGGAGATAACCATTTGACAAGTGAAAGAAAACTACTAATGCACAACAAAAACCCAACATTCAATGGACAAATGGAAATATTTTAGTCAAGGGGGGAAAGGGAATAGCCTCTTGCTTTTAAGAATGACCAGTGATGACCTTTTAGGAAACTAAGGCAGGAAACCAAAGTCCTCCCGGCTAAGCCTCCATTTGAAACATCACCAAGGATTCCCAAGGTAGATGCATTAAAAGAAAAAAGAGGTCCATACATCTGTAGCAAAGCAGACTTCCTGGTTGGCTTCTTTGCAGCACTTGTCCACGAATGCGGTGAAATCAGTAATTACACCCTTGAGTTGGTCATCAGTGATCTTGGGCTTATGTTTTATGAGTTCAACGAGTACACTGGAATGAAAAAAAAATACAGAAATGCCCGTGAAATGCAAGGAGCAACCAGGGTGGCCGACCATGCCTCATCAGCCCTCAGTTCTAGATCAGAAATCAGAGGGTAAAAAATGACACTGTAGCCTGAAGTTTGGAGTAAAGATGATCCTGTTGAAGGCATCAGGACCTCCTTTTCCTGCCTTCAACTTCAGAGATCCTAGACATCTTACCATAAGCTTCATCATATGCACTTTGGAAATCTTAAAGCACTATATAAATACTAGTAGCTATCATTGCTATTGAATACTTTTCAGTTAGAACCATTTGCCCCACAAGTTTCTTCTGAGTGACTTGCACTTGAATCACTTTCTAACTATTTTTCCCTAACAGATTCTTACCCCAAAACAGAAAGGTTTACTCATGTTGTCAGTAGAATGTCTTTCTCACTCTCAAAGAAGTAAATAAGTTTGAGGAAAGCAGGATGCTTTCCAAATGCTCCTGACCTTTGCTTCTTGTTCTGTTTCTCCTCTTCAGGAAGTGTGCACAGGTCAGCGTGGAAGGTGAATGTGTCTGCAGAAAATGGCTTGGGTTCATATGTCTCATCAACTCCCAAGGCAGTGAAGCAGGGCCTGCGGTGCACCAAGGATTCTGTGCAGCATTTGGTGATTCTCTCACTCACTGGGGTCTTCTCATGAAGGCGACACAGGTTGTCAATTACAAAAGCCAGCTAAAGCAAAAGGAAAAAAATGGGTGAATTCACCAAATGGGTAGGGTGAACATATTAGTATCTCACAGACGAAATTAAACTGCTATATTGAAGTCTGCCCTTACTCATTGCCTCTGTCTAATTGAATTTTTAAGCTTCAGTTCCAGGAGTAATTAAAAGCTTCTCAAAATGTTAAGGTTTTTGAAAATAAAACACTTAAGGGGTTTTGATTTGGGATTTTTAGGTGCTCTACTTAAGAGGAGGAGTAACCAACATTTATAGAGGGTACTCCTCTGCCACAGGTTTTTTTATTGGCCTCTCAAGGTAAAAACTCCCAACAATAGTATTGAAGTAGAAAAGAAAAGAAAAAAACTCACGTAGCTCTCGGAACAGCTTATTTTCTCTCGGTCACCGAGCTTACAGCATTTAGAGCCAACCTCTGCTAATTTATGTGCAATGTTGAGCAATGTTGGGGTTGACACTTGAGGTGCTTTCTTGGTGTAACGGACCAGCAATCTATAATTACAATGTTCCAGATGTTTGTAGTCAGTCAAAGAATCACTCTTTAGTAAAATAATAATAATGATGATAATAATAGCATTAAAAACATGCTAAGCAACAAACATCTACTCAGAGTCAGTTTGACATCATTAAACTGAGCATCCCTGGCAGTCAATATGGCCCTTCCCTTTTTCTCCCTCATTAGGCCTCTCCTGTCACGGCCTCCACCACTCATCCATTCTTCCCAATACCATTTTTTACGTAGTGGTGACAGGGACATTTTCTGAGGCTTCATTGATCCCCTCAATGATGTTCACATTTTCAATGATGGAAGTTTCCCAAATATCCCAATTTTCCCCAGTATTAATCTGTCACACATGGGTCTTTCTTAAACATTGTACTTACGTAACTCTACCACCTCTTGGTACTCTACAAGTTTATGATCCATTACAAAGAGTAATCCAATCATTTATTTGTCCTGAATCATTTTGTTTACATTTCAAATGGGGTCCCAACCCTCATGTTTGCCTGAAGGAGTCTGGCATTCCCTGCTCTGTTGCGTCCTTCCATAGTTTTTTTAGCATTGGATCATATCACATTTAAAACTTCAGCTTTCCATGCCGAAGAATTTTATTTAGTTCAACACTGGACCACAGATTGAGAACTGGAAAGGTTCTTGGAGGCCACTGAGTCCAACATCCTCATCTTGCAGAGAAGGAAACTGAGTCCTAGTGACTTGCCCAAGAATAGATAGCTAGCAAGTGCCAGAGTCAGGTCAGAACCCAGTATCAAACTCAGGTTGTGCTGACTCCAAGCCCAGTGCTCTCTTCACTGCCCCATGCCCCCAGTCTATGAGTAGTAGCAAACCAGTAGACAGCCCAAGTACTGCCCTTACAACCCCAAATTATTAAAAGGACCACAGGCTTACATAGCACTTTGAAAGGGAAAGTTGAAGTTTTTGTGTTTTATGGCCTTTTATAAGAGACTGCTTTTTTTTCCTGCTAGGCCATCTCTAGTTATCTTGATCTATGTCTGGTCACTGGACACAGATGGCTCTGGAGAATAAAGTGAGGCTGGTGACTTTGAACAACCCTGCCTCACTTAAATCCAATTCGTTTGCAAGGCATGGCATCATCTTCCTGACGCCATGGTCCTCTTCAAGAACAAAGGACAAACCACAACCATAACCTTCCATCATATTAAACCTTAAATATCAAAAACTGTTGAAGCAGAAAGGTCCTACTTACGCATTTTCAAAACCATATTCTCCAACTTTTTCAAAAAGATCACAATTTTCCTTGACTAAACGGTTGCTATCATCGATAACAGTTTTCCAGTGTTCAGCCTAGAAGAGAATAAAATGGTACTTGTAGCATATCCTCTGTGGACACATCACATATATATACCAATTTTAGAAACCAGATTAGAATTAGCCCACAGCAGTCATTCCCTCCAGCTCACTTAATTGCATGCAAAAGCATACCTAAAAGATCAAACAAGGGTTTTCAAGACTTCTATACAGGGACATTCCAATTCCATTGCCTAATGACCCAAATGCTCAGGAAAACTCGGAAATTCTTTAGTCTGGGCTAAATTGAGTCTCTCTTAAATTGCACCTCTCAGAATGCTTTTTCTCATTCTGTCTTAGTGGAAATGGAGATAAGCAAAACTTTCACCTTTCTCAAATAGCTGTTCTGGAATGACAGAGTCTCATTTGTAACCTTCCCATCTCTAGGGCAAATCTTCTTAATTCTTTTAAATACTGTTCATAACAACCTGATTTGAAAGCCCAGAAGAAGACAAGAGTCCCAAGGTAAGGTCCAATTAGCATTCATATGACTTTACTTTCTTTCCTCTTTTTCATGTACTGTGCTATCATTTCCAGATCAAGGAATCCTGAGCATATGGCATCCCAGGAGAGTAGTCTGATTTTTTTTCTTTCTCATGAGAAACCTACCACTTTGGCATAGCAAGCAGGAGGGTCAGCTGTGGCACAGCACTCCTCAAGGGTGTGTTCATAGTCCTTGGCAAGCCTTAGCAGTGTGCTGACAGCAAGCTCAGGGTGCCTTCTTCCGCTGTCATACAAATAGCTGAAGAATGAAGATCAAACACATGAGCACAGTAAGGAACAAGATCAGCCCCCAGCATTGTTCCTCTGGCCTAAGGCTCCACAAATTTTGTAAAATTACATCAAAATTTCTCAGATAAAATGTTTAGAGTTAACTTTGCCTATTGGTCTTTGTATTAATGGATTCAGCAGATGGTGTTAAATTTTCCTTTTTTTTTTTTCAAAAGTTCAGTTCTGTGCAGCCCTACTGTATAATATTACAACATATCAGTCAGTCCAGAGGACACCAGAAATACATCTCCCAGTTCCACACTTGTAGCACTTAACTCCATACTGCCTTCTACTCTTGCTTAGTGGTCACATGTCTGGATGCCTACCAACTTCTCAATTAGTCTGTACATTTCTGGAATGCTAGCATTCTATCTTACACTTCTTTGTATCCCGGACAGTGCCTTGTTCAGAACGACGAGAGTAATATGGATCTCAACACATATTTGTCCTATGAATGAGAGTGAATGAATGGGTGGATCAGTATATGGTGGGATGCATTGATGGACAAAGAAAAGCTCAGCAGACAGAGGATAATGCAAAGTTTCCCTTTCTCCCCTAATTAATGAATGGTAACTTCATCAAGCCTCAAGGCCACATAGTAGGTAGTTTCAGGGCTAAAGGGGGACTTTGCAGTGCTTTGTACTCCTCCAACCAGCACATGTCCAAAACTATCTCCAAATTCCCAGATATCTGTCCTTTCTGTGCCAAGCATGGCAATTATGACTTCCTGCCATCATTGGTCTCTTCTTGAGATTGAAAGAAAGAGAGTATGATGTATGGAGACAAAGATGAGGTACAACCAAGCTGAAGTCCCAGAGCCATTGGCCTGGATCCCGTGGCTAAGTACAGCAGAAGGCATGAAGAAGAACTTTCTCTCTATTTCTGCCTAAAACACTTGGGAGAGGAAAAGGCAAGGAGTAGCCAATAGCTCTGCAACTGTGAAGCAAGTAGAGTATCAGGTGAATGGTATTAAGCATATGAAAGGAACACAAGAATAAGATGAAAAGTTGAATTACTTGGCTAAGTAGAGATCTTTTGCTTCTTTGTAGTTTTGGCAGGCATCCTTGGTTTCTACGTATTCAGCAAGGAAGTTAGGGAGGTCAGCAGGAATGTCATCATTCTCCAGATCAGCAATGCACTGGCTCTTCTCAATTATAGGCTTCTCACAGCATTTTCCGAGTTTGGAGGAGATTGCATCCTTGTTGCTACAAATGTACTCAGAAAGAGCCACCTACAAGCCATGAGATAGAAGCAGGTCAACACAGGGCTCAATAGTCTAAGGTTCTAGGCACTCCAATCCAATCTGCCTTTCCCTTCCAGAATGCCCTTAGATCCTCCTTATTGTTAACAAACTGTTCTTCACTTGAGCTCCTTCCTCTGAAGCTCCTTCCATATCCTTGCAGGCTTGGCAAGCTGACCTTGTCCTGGAGACATTTCATCCCTGCCCAAGCTCTTCAGAATGGAATGTTCCTTCTCTCATTCTTTACATCTGTTCCCTACACACACACACACACACACACACACACACTTGGCCAAGAGAGAATGGGGAGAGGGGATTCCTTTCCCCCTCACTGCCACTTCATGGCCCTTACCCTACCACCTACATTCTCTGTCTTCCTTTAAAGTTCTACCCAACCAGATGTATCACCCTGTCCAGACTCTACTGGGTTTTATCAACTTCCCCTGGTTCATTCTCCCTCTTTTCTCCTGCACTTCAATACTTGGTTGCAGCTCAAGTCTCTCCTCAGTCCTATACATCTTCCACTTGGCTGATTTTTCCAAGGTTTAGGTCTAAACATGTCACTCTCCTATTTAGTGAACTCAATGGGTCCTTAGTACCTCCAGGATCAAACATAACTTCTCTGTTTGATATCCAAACTGCTCCATAGCCTGTCCGCTTCCTACCTTGCTGGTCCTCTTACCCCTTACTCCATTCCATAAGCTCTCCAATCTAGGGACCCTGGTCTACTTTGCACTGTCTGTCCCCCATGCCTCAATGCTCTGTCCCTCTCGCCTTTGCATCTTAGACTCCCTGGCTATTTTAAGATAGATGAAGAGGTCTTCCAGATGTAAGAGCTTTCCCTCCTCAGATTACCTCCCCTGTACTTTATGTATATCTTCATATTCATTATGTATTTGCATGTGGTCTCCTCCCAGCAGAATGCAAGCTTTTTGAGAACAAGGACTATTGCTGTCTTTCTTAGCATCCCCAAAGTAAATAGCACAGTGTCTGGCACATAGGAGGTGCTTGATAAATGCTTATTGACTGTCTGACCAACTGACTTGCAGCAATATTTACCTTAGCCTCAATTAGTGTTTTTTTTTGTCCAAGATGGCAACAAAAATAATAATAATGATAATATAAAATTAATTTTGTTAAGGGAAGTAATAGAGAGAGTTTGAAGGTGCTAAAAACCATGGAGTCAGAGGGAGTAGGAAAATTTCTTAAAACAGGGAATTGGGGGGAAGCAATAAGAACACTAGGAAGAAACCTTGTCTACTATATTTCACCATCTTGCTAATGAACTCCCTTATTTTATACAGCAGCAAGTAATTAAGTGCCTTCCACTTGTAAGGTGCTATGCTACACCCCTAGGAATTCAAAGGCAAAAAGTGCTTATCCTCTAACAGCTCATATTCTATCCAGGAAGATAATAAATATATACATAAGTTTTATAGAAGTATATACAAGTCGTCATGTGGTAATTTTCTGCTGGAAGAAATGAGAGGCTGAGGAGATTAGAAAAGGCTTCCTATAGAAAGGGATACAAGCTTAGCCTACTACCTGGCATACAGTAGGTGCTTAATAATGCCAGTTGACTGACTGGCTGCCAGAATAAGCTGAGGTTTGAAAGAAACTACAGATTCAAATTTATTCATTATCATCCCTGTGATTCTAAATTTATTAAATTTGTGTAAAAAAAATCCTCAGACAAGCACATTATACAGAAGCTTATATAACAACAATATGGATAAATAACAATAAATATTTACCCTATCATCAGCACACTCCAATAGGTCACCATGGCAACATTCTTTATGAATCTTGCCAAGATCATCCACTATTTTATGAAGTTCAGCAAATTCAATCTTGGGGAATTTCTGACTTAGCCAACCTACGAGCCTAGGAAGAAAATCCACAAGAGGTAAATTATTAGAACTTAAAACTTCCATGAAAATTTCCTGGAAATCATTTTTTAAATTGCTATGAAATTCTTGAATGAGTTGACACACAGAAAGTATTTGGGAGGTACAGTCAAATATGACATCAATGTTGACTCTGAACCATCATCACAAACACCATCACTACCTAAGCTTGGAGCGAGGAACATGAGTTCAAATCTGGCCTCAAATCCATCTAGCTATGTGACTCTAGGCAAATCACTTAACCCCTATCTGCCTCAATTTCTTCATCTGCAAAATGGGAATAATAATAATAATAGCATCTACCTTCCAGTCCAGCTGCTGAGGATAATATTTGTCAAAAGACTTTGAAAACCTAAAAGCATAATATACATGCTAGCTATTATTTATTGTCCTCAATGCCAGCATAATCACTTACGAGTCACTCTGAGTTTATGATCAGTAAAGAAGAACAGGGTGGTTAACCATTTAGTCCTTCAATATAATTAATCATAGAGCTAAGAGAGGTCTTCTGACACTAGCCATTCTGTGACCCTTCCAGGCCATCCTGCACCAAAACCTGTTAAACGATGTTTGATGTTCCTCTGACTTCTAAGGACCTCCAGCAGCAGAGAATCCTGAGTTTTGAGTCTCTCACAATAGTACTTAAGCATCCAGATACATACATTAACCTATATTGAGAACAGAACTTGATCAGAAAAAAAAAAAAATCCTTGTGTTCTATTGTCTTCATTCAACTACAGGAAATAATTGCATGGAATGCTTATTGAAGAGGTTGACTGGTCTCCTTAAGGAGGAAACTATTTCCAGGTCTCACAAGAGGGAGAGTTAAGCAGGGGAGGACACAGAGGTTGGGGTGGGTGAGAGTAGAAAAAGGTCCCTTCCTCTGACTGAACTGGTGCATGCTGACTTAGCAGATGACTTTGATAAAGCACCTTACAATTACAAAGCACTTCCATATACAAATATTTCATCTGAGCCCCACAATCCAAAGTAATGTGGCTAGGGTGATATCTGTTTTACAGATGAGGACACTAAAGAGGCAGAGTGGTTTTCCCAAGGCCCCAAAGCTAACAAGCTGCAGAGGCAGGGACCATAACCACATGGTGTTTTTTAATGTTCTATTTCATTAGAACCTTAACAATCATAAACACAAATAAACTTTATACAAGGAAAGATTATATGTTTAAAAAAACCTGTGAGCTTCTGGTACACAATCTGTTTTCAAAGTCATATACTCACATATATATGAGCATATACATATGTTATATGTGTATGTGAGAGACTCTGGCCAAGTCACTCAACCTTTCACTTTTCTAGTCAACTCTCTAAGATTAGAAGTTGCAGATAAGGTGCCAGTCTACATTAGCCAAGGAAGTTTCCTTATCTGAGAGTTCTTCATACCAATGAAATCGCTGGCCCACTCTTCCTATCCCTATATATGCACTTAACAAGAAAGATACACAAACAAATATTGTTCTGTTTGTGTTCCCTCCTGCATTTTGCTTTCTTCTGTGTATTTATTCTAAATGTTTAAATGATGCTTTTTTGCATCTCTGTCGCTACCCACTAATTTACCCCTTCCCTGTTATAAATATGTATATACAGTAGCTCAGAAAAACAAGGCAATGTACTGGCCGTGTCAGAGAACATATATTTCATTGTGCACCTCCACTGCATCACCTGTCTGCCAAGAACTTGCATCAGTAGTGATTTGAAGTCACTATTACTCTAAGAAAGCAAAGGCTTCTGGGACATTTTGTCTTCTTTTTAGTGCTATTAATAAATGTGGCAAGTATTTGCACTCCAAACTTTTCAACAGGACCTGCAAATGTTTATCTTCAGACTCAGAGTTTCAGAACATGGTTTTTAATCTTCCCCTGCTGCCTTGGATACCTCCTTCATGCAGACAATGCCTCTAGCTGATAGCCCACTTCCTCCTCTTGCCATATTGGTAAGTGTTTGTTTGTTTTTTTGGTTTTTTGGTTGTTTTTTTTTTTTTTGGTTAGGCAATGGGGTTAAGTGACTTGCCCAGGGTCACACAGATAGTAAGTGTTATGCGTCTCGGTCCGAATTTGAACTCAGGTCCTCCTGAATCCAGGGCCGGTGCTCTATCCCACTGAGCCACGTAGCTGCCCCACCATATTGGTAAGTGGATCAGGCCTCTTACTCTTACCAACTACAGTACTTGGATAATCAACCTGACATTTCTGGTGTAACATCATGTTATCATAGTTCTGGTGGCACAAAGAACTCCTAGTGAAAACTCCCTATACCAATGCAACTCATCTATAATTTTAAAATCTTAACTATGTTGGCCACTGAAAGGTAAAGTGATATGCCCATAGTTAAATAATGATTATGTATCAGATAGGACTTAAACCCAGGTCATTCTGACTCAGAGGACAACACTCTATACACTCTGCCATACTTCCTTTCCATTAATTTTTGGGAAGAGGAAGGATTTTCCGATCGTTAGTATTAACAGCGGCCTTCATTACCATATTTTTGTGGTCTTAGAAGGCATTAGTCACATCTATCACTCTTTTTGCAAATTCTAAGCAATTAATAAACATGGTTACCTAGAGATTCTATGGGGTACTTTGGGGACCCCTCTACAGCAAAGTGCTTTGGGCAGTCAAACCCAAGGTGGATGAGTACTTTTCCAATGAAAAGAGAATCAGGGGACAGCTAGGTGGTGCAGTGGATAAACTCCACCCTTGGAGTCAGGAGGACCTGAGTCCAAATCCAGCCTCAGACACATTGACACTAGCTTTGTGACCCTGGGCAAGTCACTTAACCCTGATTACCTCACCAAAAAGGCAGAAAGAGAGAGAGAGAGAATCACAGCTTAGCTGGGCTAAACGAGGCTACATTGTGAGTCAAAGTGGTAGATAGAAGGTTAGAGAGAACCAGACCCCCTCACCAATATGACAGGAGGAGGAATTGAAGCATCAATCTGTATCAAGCAGGGATGAAGTGAGAGTGGATTTGTGGGGAAACCCCTCCCGAAAAGCCGCTTTAATACTCCAAGTTAAAGAATAAACCTTTTCCAGACCTTACTTATAAAACTGGAATGGAAATGCCTGCCACTTTTATTGCAAGGACTAAATAGGAAATGTTCAATTCTTGAGAATTTTGTTGATTCTGTATCTTTTTTATTGATCCTATTGCCAGATTACTGATTTTGTCCTGTAACTGCCTAAATTATGGTTCTTTGAACTGAGTGCAGAAATACACTAACATGAATGAGTTAAGTTTAGAAATCCAGTTCTGTTAGTCATTGTTCTATTATTGCCTCAAGGATTTCTGCTGTCCTTGAGGAATGACCATGGACACAAGGCAGGCTTTCCTTCAAAGATGTCTGATTTACTATCCAAAGAAGTCTGGACCACTATTTTTTAACATTGAAAATGGACTCGACCTATGAAATTTTCTCAGTCTCAGAAAAGAAGAAAGGAGCTATTGCTTGCCCCTCATTTCCAACTTCCAACCAATCAAATTGTTGCCTGAGCTTCAGCTATGTAACCAATTATGTTGTCCTCAACCCCAGGATGTCACCTACTCTGTTCTATACTTTGTTCTGTGCTTATAAAAAAGAGTTGCATATTCAATTCTTTGTCTTTTGGCTAATTGAGGCTATCATTAGACCCATTCTACTAACAGGTAATACCCTGATAATAAAATGTTGTCTTGCTTGGAGCAAGTACCTTGGTTTACCTTTCTGTTGAATTGCACTTGTGACAATTTTTTTACTTTTTGGAAATGATGAAATTAACAACAAAAAGTCTTGGGAGCTAGAGATATTGGAATCCCAGGCCTTTGTCCATCTTTGATTCTACAACAAATACAATGGTTTTTAAACAATTGGAACTTTAGAGACTTACCCAGCCTTGACAGCTCTCTCTCCAAACTTGTCTAAACTGGAGCATCGGAATCTCTGTTTTGCACCTTCAGCTAATACTTTATGTCTTAAAAGAGGGAGCTGTAGAAAAAAGAAATCACTTTTTTCGAAAATAATTTCCACATTTTCATTAATATGAAAAATAAATTCCCCACAAAGTCCTCACAAACTAATTCTACATTTTCTTCAAAATTTAAGGAGTTTAACCTGAGTTCCATGAATGAGAGACATAGAGACAGAGAGAAAGAGACAGAGACAGAGATTTATTGATAGGTGTATTTCAATATTATTAGTTTCCTTTGTAATCCTATATATTTCCTTTTATGCATTGAAAGACGTGAATCTGAGAAGGGCCCATAAGCTTCACTAGACTGCCCATGACACAAAAAATGTTAAAAGACCCTGCTTTATATGAAGATAGCATTGCTTATGCACCAATAGTCAGTTTTGCACTTGGGCTTCTTTTCTCAGTAGTGGTGATAGATTTTTTTGACTAAGCCCTTAATGATCACTTTCCTGGTGCTTCTTATGACCAAGGTGACACAATTTGAAGAGAGTTGTTCAGATTTAGGAATTGTCAATGATAATCTCACCAGTATGTAATACATTATAAGATCCAAGAGGACAGAGGATATTTTGAGTTTTCTCTTGGTGTTGGTAGGAACTTAATGGGAGTTAATAGGAGATTGATAATTGCTTGTTGGGTTGGAATTGAAGCTAGGACCTTCATTTCTATTAAAATAATGTGTGAATCATCAAGTCAATCAGCCACAAGCACAGTGATCAATTAATTGAATGTTTAATCTCCCTGGGCCTCAGTTTCCTCACCTGTGATGAAATTAGTAAATATAAGAATCTCCAAGGTCCCTCCCAGCTCTCAATCTGTGCTCTTATATTCAATATAATATCTTTAATATTCTCTGTCCTGATAGAAGAAGCTATATATCTTTGCTAAGTAGGATATGCTCTCCACATTTGGAAAATTGTATAGTATATGTTGTTCTCAAAGAGAGTTTCAAAAGTATTTAAGAAATTTTTTTCAATAGCTATCAAAGTTAAATTGCTTATTTACTAACTAGCATTAGACTTGGGAATACAGTAAAAATGTATAGGATTTGAATGGAATACGAAAGGAGTTCACATTCAAAACATCTCCTTTACTGGCTTACTGTGAACCTAAAATTTCACTATTCACTACAAATTCACGCCTTGAAGTTAAGGAACTGTATCTCTTAGAATCCTCTTTTTAAAGGAAAACACTATTAGGATAACAAAATTCAAGTATTAAGAATTGAATGTGAATTACTTTACAAGATTATTTTTCAGAGAAGATATCTGGCTGAGAGTATGGTGACAAAGAGGTAGGGAAGAGGACAGGGTATATTTTGATAGGGAAGGAGCCTTTTGGGGGAGGCTGGACTTGGGAATGTTAACTGCAGTGGGATACTTTGCACAGTGAAGAGTCAGTATATAAATAATTATATATAAATAAATATATTACATATAAATATGTATTTATATATAAATAAACAAACTATAAATAAAATATTAATATAAATGATAAAATAATATACTAATATAAAAATAATATAATATAATATAAATAAAAAATAAGTAAATAAATATATATAAATACCTCCTGGGGCATGGTAAAGAGCCTAAAGGAACCAAGAAGACAAACTTCACCTGCTTTCCAATTTTCTTTAGGGCCAACAATGTCATCAAGAAGCTAGGTAGCCCAGTGAATAGAGTACTAAGCTTAGAATCTGGAAGACTCATCTTCATGAGTTCAAATCTGACACTTACTAACTCTGTGAACCTAGGCAAGGCACGATAAGTGCCTGTTTGCCTCAGTTTCCTCATCTATAAAATGAGCTGGAGAAGGAAATGGCAAACCACTCCAGTACCTTTGCCAAGGAAACCCCAAATGGAGTAACAAAGAGTCAGCCATGACTGAAAAAAACTAGACAACAACAAAATTATGTTGTCAACTCCATCTTTAGCCCTACTTAATGTTCCCACTATCATCTGTCAGCAAAATTCACTCTTCTACCTACAGTAGAGTCTGTCCACTCCAAATTATTCCACAAATATAAATTCACATGCTTGCACACGTACATGCGTGCGCACACACACACAAACACAAACACACACACATGCACACACAATACTAACACCAGGATGCAGAAAGTTCTCAATAGCATTATCACAAATAACGGAATGATTCAGGGGACTGGAAAGTTTAAGCAATACAGAGGCAGACTCTATCACCCTACCCTTCACGGAAGTGAGGACAGTACTGAAGAAGAACAAAGGAAGGATCATGTATTTAGATCTGGAAAGAGCACGAAATACCACCCCCTCAGATTACAGATTAGAAAACTGAGGCCAGGAGAAAGGAAGTGACTTACTGAGGACCACACAGCTAGAAAGCATCTGAGATGGGACTTCAACCCAAGTGTTCCTGCTTTCACCCCTCCTCAACCCAAGGGCTTTCTCTACTGTACCACACTGCCTCTCAAGTCATGGGTCAGGACTCAGGAAGGTGCTGATGGATGATCATGGTAAGGAAGATGGGACTTCTTAGGTCCAGGTCAGAAATCCCACATTGCTATTCCCTCCCACTCCCCCCCCCTCTCTCTCTCTCTCTCTCTCTCTCTCTCTCTCTCTCTGTCTCTGTCTCTCTCTCATTCTCTCAAATACCTTTTCTTTGAGGCACGCGGCTTTGTCAGCAGCCTGGCAACATTCTTTCACTGCCGCCTTATACTGATGAGCGTAGGCAAGGAGTGCTGGGGCATAGAAGTAGGGGTGTCTTCTTGCAACTTCATACAGGTAGCTGAAATTGGCAAAGAGAACCAAGTGGTCACTTTTGAGTAGCTACAAATAACAAATGTCCTCAACCTTGTACCCACATCAACCAGAACCAGGCGATAAGTTTACTCCCTCAACTGAACCTAACTAGATTTGACTTCTGCTGAACCCTCTAATTTGGAGCTGTGATCTCATTGGCATTCTTTCAGTTCTATCTAGGAATTGGTGTGCTATATTATGCAATATAACATCTTTAACATTCTCTATTCTGATAAAGCAAGCTATACGTCTTTTCTAAGTAGGATATACTCTCCACATTTGAAAAATTACACAGTGCATATTGTTCTTACAGAGAGATTCAAAAGTATTTAAGACAGAATGTTTTGTCAATAAGTATCAAAGTTAAATTGCTTGTGTACCAACCAGCATTAGGCTTGGGAATGAAGTAAAAATGCATGGGATTTCAGGGGACTCAAAAGAAGCTCACCTTCAAAACATCTCTTTCACTGGCCTACTGTGCACTGAATATTTCACTCTTCACTACAAATTCACTCTTTGAGGTTAAGGAACTGCATCTCTTAGAATCCTCTTTTTAAAGGAAAACACAATTAGGATAACAGAATTCAATTATTAATAATTGAATGTGAAAAAAAGAATTGAATGTGAATTACTTTACAAGATTGTTTTTCAAAGAGGACACGATGAGGGTATGATGTGAAAGACATAGGGAAGAGGACAGGGTATGTTTTGGTAGTGGAGCAGTTGGCAAACCCCACCTACAAGGCCGAGGGCAAATGATGTAAAAGGCCCCTTCAGGTGAGAAGAGAAGAGACAGACCCCCTGAGAGGGCAGCAGAAGTTTCAGGGAACACCATGCGTTGGGAGTGATTCACCAAGGCCCAGCGTCTTTTTCTCAAAATTAGCTATTCCTGCTAACTCAGGACTGAATGCTGTTATTTCCCCACTGATCAAAGTGCTACAAATAGGTTCAGTTTTCTCTGAGTCTACCACCCTTAGGACCCCAAAGGTAGGTCCTGTTCGGAGCATAGGAAATGCTGAGCAGGGAAACTCCCTCTATCTCTGCAGATTGGCCACTTTTCAATAACAGTAGTCTTTGTCAAGCTGACTGGGGCACTCAGACCACAGAATTCTAGAGCTACAAAGGGGCACAAAGATCATCTGATCCAACCTCCTCGGTTCATAGATGAGGAAACTGAGGCCCAAGGAGCTTCAATGACTTGCCCTTTCCAACTTGATGGCACCGTGGATAAAGCATTGGTCCTGGATGCAGGAAAACCTGAGAAACTTAGTAGCTGTGTGACACTGGGCATGTCACATAATCTCTGTCTGCCTCAGGTGCTTCATCCATAAAATGGGAATCATACCAACATCTAAATAATTTGTTGTGGGAATCAAATAAAAGAATATTTGTAAACCCCTTAGCACACGGCCTGGCACATAGTAAGTACTTCATGAATGCTTATTCCCCTTCTCCCTCAGTCCCACACAGTTAGTGCTATGACCTGTGCCAGGGTTCTTTGGCTCCTACACTGGCCCACCAGCCCCTGCAATCACTTTCTGATTTCACTTACTATCCAATGACTCTGTTTTCATTCTCTTGGAAGTTGTGGCACAGAGTGTCAGCATTAGGGGCTTCGATTTTAGGGAGCACTGGGTGGTCATCTTTGTGACTCAGGAAACAGTGATTTCTCTCAGGTTCCTCTTTAGCGCAGCAGTCTGCCATTTCACCATACAGCTCCCGAAAATTTGGCAAACTACATAACTTATCCCCGAATAGTTGGTGCTAGGAAGGAAAAAAATAGGTGGTTAGTCACTGACCCATTTAAAGCCCTGGACATACTCGTCTTTCTCTTTTGGAAAGAACAAGACTTAGGAGACAAAAAGTTAGGAGAAGCAGCTCCCTTGACATTCTTCTGCTCCTCTCAAATTATCTGACTTTCTCTTAGTTCAGAACAATTCCTTGCATTTTTTTAATGATAAGGAACACTTCTGGACTGGTCTCTGTGTGAGAAGTCCAAGAACAAAGAGAGAAATGGCCTTCTTGATGGGACACATTACTATTGACTCTGATCTCCTATCTAAAATGAAATGAAGAGAGAAGGTCGAACTCAACCACAGGGTCGATACTCACAAGGGATTTGCCACAATTTTCCGCTGTCTCATCAGCAGCACAGCCTTTTGCGAATTCCACAACCTCACCCACTAATTTTATATGATCTTCATATGGACATTTCTGGAGGTACTGAGAAAATGTGATCAATACTCTGAAATAAAGAGTTCTTATGGTTACTGAAAGAAAAGGTGAAATTAAATATTAAAAACCCCATCATAAAGTGTTTGCTTAGGTGAAGATCCAATTGAATCTACACCACTTTCAGGTTGGCTGGAGGACCATCCACACCATGCCAACTTGGCTAGAGTACCAAGGCATCCTGAGAGAAAGACAGGGGTGGCATGTACCTCATGGATGAACCACCACCACTACCTCAACCACCACCATCACCTCCACTCACACACAGGTGGAGACAGCCCAGGACCCCGTAACCAAGAGCCCTAGGAAGAGCAGCACCCTTTTAATGACATGTTTTGCTTCTACTCTGATATCCCCACAGCCCTTATCAAGGGGATTGACCCTTGTAGAGAAGAACTATGACAGCTGTCTCTGAGGCTGCTTGCAGCCCCTACCTCTTCAGCAGCCATAGCTACTGAAGACCCAGAAAGGAAAATTCTCATCACCAAAGTCCTTGCCAAAGGACTTTCAGTATCAGAAACAGAAAATGATTTTAGCAGTAGAGATGTCATTAAAAGAGTGGTATTACCATGTACTTTGCTATTTTACCTTAAGGATTATGGGATTTTTTTCCATCTGCCTTGTAGCTGCATTCTCCTAGATGGGTTCTCCTTGAGAACAGGGACTGCTTTGCTTTTCTATTTGTGTGTACCTCCTGCTCTTAGCATAGTATTTAATGCATGCTTTTGCAGTCATTCATTCTATAAGGATCAATGGATACTATCTCTTCCTCACTGCTCTAACCAAAGGTGGGGGAAGAGAACAAGCATTTATACAGCTCCCACTATGTTCCAGGCACTGTTCTTGGCACTTTACTGATATTATCTCATTTGATCCTCACAATCTCATACAAACTTTGCTCTCAGAATCTCCAGTCACATCACTTGCTAAGGGACTGATATATTTAAAGTCGTGTTTAACCCAAAGACACTTGTATTTTAACAGTTAAACAAATGAGATCACATCTGAAGGTAGAACTCCAAGCATTAGCCAGTGAGTGAGTATTTTGTGGAGGGAGAAGAGGATCTTCCTAACCCCCAAAAATCACTCTATGTAGAAAGTAGCCAACTACGTGTAAGTCGATCACTGAGCAACTGAAGTCAATTCAATTAGGCATCTAGGACCTTAAGTCTAGAAGACTTGAGCACAAAGTCTGCCTCTGACACTGATTACATCACCAATTATTAGACTGTGACTCAGAGGATGACCTGCCTCAATTTCCTTATCTGTAAAAATAGGGATAACAATAGTATGCTCAGTTGTCATTCCTGGTAACCATGTGAAAATATGAGGTGCCTACTTCCAGCCATAAGGCCTTCATAGGGGAGATGTTGGAAAGTTCTTTAATTAGCTATTGAGCCAGAAACCATTGACAGCTAAATATGTTCCACAGGGGAGGTAGCAGAAAGAGGAGAAAGGGACCCACTATGTAAAGTACAAAGGGATTATGTCACATCAATATTAATGGAAAATATGAATTCAAATTTTCAATAATTATACTTACAGGCCTTTCACATTCTCCTCACCCAAGTCTCTATACCGTTTGGCAATCTCACTCTTAGCTAGAAGTAAAATAAACAACATTGAGATATATATCTCATGTACATATATTTAAATATATATTTTATATGTATACATATATACATATGTACATGATATATATATATATATATATATATATATATATATACACACACACACATATATATTTAAACCACCAGGTGAAGAACCACTCCTCAATCTAGGCATATTTTATACATTCATTTGACTCAAAAGATGATGCCTCTGCCAGCACAGACAAATCTTTGTAGAATAGTCAGGCTCAATTCAGTATAACACCTGGGGAATTGTTGATTGGCACAGATGCTTCTTTTGAACTTTGCTGTTTCTTTATTTTTTCTTCAAATCTAAGGGAGGATTTTTGTTGTTTATTTAGTCATTTTCAGTCATGTCCAATTTTTTATGACCCTTCTTGGGTTTTGTTTTTGGGGGGGGTTTGGCAAAGATATTGAAGTGGATTTCCATTTCCTTCTCCAGCTCATTTTGCAAATGAGGAAACTGAGGCAAACAGGATTAAGTGACTTGCCCAAGGTCACACAAACTAAAAAGTAACTGAAGCCAGACTTGAACTCAGGTCTTCCTGACTCCAGGCCCAGCACTCTATTCACCTAGCTGCCAAGATAGGATTAGTTCTTTTATACCTCCCTCAGAGGAGTGATGAGAGGTCTGTCTGAAATGCAAGTGCAATAAACCCAAACCCTAATTATAAAATTTATCTAATGGTTCTAGATTTCTGTATGCTGAGGCAGAGCTGATGATGTCATAGCTGAGGAGGTGGGAGGAATAAGTTCCCTTTCTTTTTTTGGGATTGTACAACTTTAAGAAGTCATGGTAGCTATATTTTCTCCATCTGAAAAAGGTTACAAAAACTATCCTGTCTAACTCATTGACAATATTAGACAGACTGATGACTTCTTTGACACTATATAGATACAATCATCTTCATGAATATTTTTCACCTCTGAAGGAAAATATACACGATGGGACTACAAATCCCCAAAGATTCAATCTTCAGCCTCGATTTCTCATTAAAAGAGACCATGAATAGAAAGACTCTTACGTGCATCTCGACGGACGATTTCCCTGGAATGAACAGAGCTGAAGAGGAAAATAAGGGAAATGAAGGTGACCCACTTCATCTTGTCAACAGTTTAGGGGGACTGGTGGAGGAAAGAAGGTAGGATATTGAGAGGAGAAATGGATTAATATACCTTTTTTAAACAATAATTGTAGATTATTAACTTTGCATTTCATTTCCTCCCACGGATTTCAAAATTCAGACTATTCTTGCCAAAACTTTGTTTGCCCAAATGCCTTGCACATGTTTGCCATGTGGAACTCTCTTCTCAAAAAGACCTTGTAAATTCATTAAACTTATGTAAAATACCTTATCAAATTATAAACAAGGATCTAAAATATTTGTACCTTTTATTCAGTACCTTGTCCTTTATCCTAGATTCCCATTTGGACATTTTAGTTGTGATAGTTGTAAAATTTTAACCAACCTGGGAGCTAGGCTTGGAGAGCTGCATGAACAGTGGCCCTAAGTTCAGAAATGTGCCTTGGCAAACCATTTGCACTGCTGAACTTACCTTATGGCAATGAGGGTCTGGAAAAATTTACTAAATTAAAAGAATTAGAGGTTTCCATTTCATTCATTCCTACCTTTACTCAGGAAGTATTGAAGGCTGAAAAGTTCCCATATGGCCCAGAATGCAACAAATGGAGACAGTGATATCTAAAACATCTAGAGTACAGCTAGATGTCCAAGAACTTCACATCATCAATCTCAGGCCTGACCTTCAAAAGCTATTGCCCTTTCTGAAGCTCACTTTATTTCTTTTATTTGACTTTATCTGTGATTCTTAGAAATTATGGTAGAAAATAATTGAAGTGATTTGTAGGAATAATGATCTTGGAAACAGTGAGGTACAAATCAAAATCTTAAAACCACATGACCAGGTGGCACGTTCCGTAATGCTGAAAATGCTGAGATACCCCTCATCAGACTGAAGCAACCTGAGTATTCATGGGAGACTCAGGAACACAGGTAGGGATGGACACTGAGCTCATATTTTCGAGAAGTTGTGGATGGATATAGGCTAGAGAGGAAGGGGAGGAGGAAGAGAGTAAGAGAAGGAGAGATAGGGAAAAGGAAGAAATGAGAAGGAGGAGCAAAGAAAGAGTAGAAGAAACAAACGAACGGACAATTCAATCAGCATCATCAGTCTAATTATTCTGCCTAAACAAGGATATGTTTCTAGTAAATTTCTCTTTCAAAAAGAAAAAAAAAAGTTATCCTTTCCCCACATACTCTTACACCCCCAAGGAAAATATCATTCGTTTTTAAGACAATTGCTAATTCTAGCAGACTTTCACTCCCCAAGGAGTTTAGATTCACCCTGAGAGACCTAATCACAGAGTCCCAGAACCTGAGCCCAGACGCTACCTAGTCTAATTTGTATCTGACTAAGAATATCATCTATGACATCACAGACAAGTGGTCATCTAGCCCCTGCTTAAAGACCTCTGATTAGAGGGGAACCACTATCTTCCAAGTTAATCCATTTCACTTTCAGATAGTTCGAATTTTTAGGAAGTTTTCCTTTTCCATGAGCATAAACCTATCTTTCTGAATTTCCATCCTCTCTTCCTATTTAGAGCCATGGATGCTAAACATAATAAAATGACTCCTCCATCAGCATGAAAACCCTTCAAAGACTTGTAGTTGCTATCACTACCTTCATAAGTCTTCTCTTTCCCAATTTCTTCAGTCAATTCCCTCATCATCATTGTTGCCCTCTTTCGGAAGGGTTCTCACTTTCCTGGTGTAGAGAAAAGAGCACTGGACCTGAAGTCAGGAAGTTCTGGGTTTGAATCTCACCCCACCACACATTAGCTGTCTACTCTACGGCATAGGCATTGAAGTTGTCTGAGACTTAGTTTCCTTTTCTGCAAAATGGGAATAATAAGACCTATTGCACCTATCTTAAGTGATTGTGATATCAAATGACAATTTATGTATGGTACTTTGCAAACATTGAAATATGATATAAATGTCAGTTATTATGTTTGATACTATTATTGTAAAGGTTCTTCCTAAAATATGGTCTCAGAATGAAACAGAGAGGTCCAGATGTCAACTGAGGGGAGCAAAGTACAATGAAACCATGACCTCCCTCATTCTGGATATTGCACCTCTCAACGGAGCGTAAGAGAGCAGTAGCTTTTTTCGCTGGCATATTACATTGTCAGCTCAATTCGACATCAGAAAGTAATTGATTGTATTAGTGGCAATGACATTAAAGAAGAAGTATTACCATCTGCTTTTCTGTTGTATCCTAAGAGCCATGGGATCTTCCCATCTGATTTCCAGATGAAACCTTTTATATGTGTTGTCTCCCTCATTAGAATGTGAACCCTTTGAATGCTTTTCCATTCGTATTTCCTTGCTTTGCACATAGTAAACATTTCCTAAGAGCTTCATTCATTCATCCAATTGAGTTTAGAGCTCACTGAACATCCCAGGTATTTATCTGAATGAACTTCTGTCTAACCACCCCACCCCACCATCCTATATTTATGAACCTGTTTTTTCTTTAACCCAAGAGAACAGTTTTCTATCAGTCCATGTTAAATATCATCTTGTGAGATTCAACCTATCATTCATGCCTGCCAAGTTGATTGTGGAACCTGACTGTCATCCAAGATATGAGTTCCCTATCTCAGCTTCACATCATCTGAAATTTCATGAGAGTCTCTTCTATGGTTTTAGCTAAGCTGTTGATAAAAATGTTGAATAGTACAGGACCAAGGACAGATCCCTGGGACACTCCTCTGCAAGACCTCCTTTGAAGTTGACATTGATTCTTTTGGTCTGGTCATTCAACCAGTTCTGATTCCACCTAGCCTACATTTCTTTAATCTGTCCACAAGAGTAGTATGAGAGACTTTGTCCAAAGCTTTGCTGAATAGAAAACGTGTAGCCCTCTGAAATATTTAGTTGTCTGTTGCAGTTACATGAAGATAGACTTTTTGAGAATGATGATGATGATGATGATGATCACTAGCATAACTTAAGGTTTACAAAGCACTTATAATTATTCTTCCATTTTATCTTCACAGTAGTCCTGGCAAGCAGGTGTTATTATTTGCTGAGGCTTAGAAAAGTTAATTGACTTGCCCAGGGTCACATAGCCAGTAAGTGTCTGAGAGAGAATTTGAACTCAGGTCTTCCTGACTCAAGATGTAGTGCTCTATCCACTATACCATCCACACGTATTCCATGAAAGCTGATTGCACAGGACGGAGAATAGACCATTACCTCTCAAGCAATAATATGCCTTAATGCAATAATCATAATTTCAGAGAAGAAAAAAAAATTCCAAATCTTCAGGTCTTAACAGGATACATGGAGGTGATTTTTCGGACACTTGACACTTACTTGCTATGTGACCCTGGGCAAGTCACTGAACCCCAACTACCTTGTCAAAAAAAAATATTGAGCACACTTGAAAAAAATAACTATATGATTTATCTGATCCCTGTAGTTCCAAGTAGTTTTTAAATATGGATTATTTGATGACTAAAGTTACCAGAGGACTGAGATTCTAATAATCCAGCCCTTTGTGTAAATCAGCTTGATCACAAGAGATCCTTTTCTACCATCAGTCAGTGGATTCCTAATATAAGTGTACTGAAATTTTCTTTCTCAAAAAAAGTCAGTTAGGGGTTGGGAATGTATACACACTTACTATCTTGGAAGGAGATCTAGTAGTTATGGGATCATTGATTTTGAACTAGAGAGGGCCTCAAAGGCTCTCTAATCCAATCCCTTCATTTTTACAGCTGAAGAAACTTAAGTGCTGAGAAATGAAGCAATTAAATAGGGAGCATTTCTACGGCACTTAAAGTTTCACAAAGTGCTTTACAAATATTATCTCATTTTATCTTTACAACTACCCTAGGATCTCCATGATATTAGCAGCTGCATGCCATTTTACAAATGGAGAAATTGGGGCAGATAATGGTTCATGGAGTTTGCCCGGAGTCACACAGCTAGTAAGTTTGCACCTGGATCTTTCTCATTCCAGGTCCAGTGCTCTGGCCACTGGACCACCTTTCCAAGATGATACAAGTGGTTTATGTCAGAGGAGGGGTTTGAACCCAGATCCTCAGACTCCAGAATCACTTCTCTTTCCACTGTGCCACACTGCCTCTGAAAACGTTCTTCTTCAGTCTTTTAAACTGAGGGGACTGAATGAAGAGAGACAGAGACAGAGACAGAGAGATAGAGAGACAGACACAAAGAGAGAGACAAAGAGACACAAAGAGACAGAGAGATTAAGATTTGAATTGAGTACGAAAGCTATAAATGTAAGTTAGAGAATCTAGTTTTTTAATTATTTAATAATGTATTTTTGACTAGGACACTAAAAAACACCTCTTTCTTATGGTATGGAACCATTATGCTCTCTAGTCATATGGCCTTGCAGAGCTCAAACCATAAACTTACATTTCTGTTTTCTGCACAAAAATTAGCCAAAGGTGTTGCTGGGATTTTAAATTTTGCTTTGGTTTGGGTTTGAATATTAATCACTTCCTTTTTCCTTCTGATTATCTAAAAAAAAGGGGGGGGGGAGGCAGAGAGAATCCATGTTGATAAAATGGAACTTAAAATGACATGTACATAGACCTGAGAAAGGAATACTATAAAGGGTGACTAACTCCAAGTCCAACTGGAAATGAAGCCATAGCTTTGTTTTATTCCTTTTTTTAATGATGGGGAGGATCCTAAGTAAAACTGTGAAGCAGGTGATGGTTCTTTTTATTGAATTTCTCCTTCCTCCTGAGCAGCCAGTATCCTCATTCTATTTTAATTGCCCAAAGTTCCATCATGGCACTCCAACCAGGCCTACCTCCCATAACTCCAATCTTTTGCCAAACTACACATCAAAACTTATATGTCCAAAATGTCTCCCTTTGAAAACCAGGTCTCTTCTAGGCAATGGTCTGGATAATTAGAGAAACTTGCTCATCCTAATGTGTTCAGCAGACAGTAATGAGTTAATGCATTACCCTTCTTAGATAATATCTCTTTACATTAAACTGCACATTTATTTGTATTATAAATCATGTAATATTTACTTAATTGTGAAATTGTA